TCTTCTTCTTAAATCGCTTTTGTTGTTTTTGTTTTTGTCGTTGTTGTGATTGTTGGTCTTCGGCCGAGCATGTTACTTTGATTTTTAGCTTTACTTTCTTTGGAAAGTTGATGCTTTGAAGCTTGTTTTGTGGGTGAAAATGGATAGAAGTGTTGTTTGGATGGAGAAAAAATTTGGTTTTGAGAGAAAGTGAAGCCATTTTCGTGAAGAAAAAACTGAGGTTTTTGCTGACAGTGTCCGGGGTTTTAGATAAGAGGCGGGTACATAAATTTATTTTATTTTTCGTTTTATTTAAAGATGAGAGTTTTTTTTTTTTTTAATTATTAAATGAATAATAGAATAACCTTATAATATGAATTTCTTAAAGCAGATTCTCTCCATCGGAAGAAATTTTAGTTCAATATTTTTAATAATTAAGAAATAATAAAAATAGATTGATAAATTCCTCTTACAAACTTTGACGTAATAACTGAGTTGACAACTTCCATTACACCTAAGGTACAAAATGATTTTTACTAAACTTAAGAAATAGTTGTTCATAAAAAAAAATATTGTTCCTCTTTAAGGAACATCACCTATGAAAAAAGAATAACCATTCATTCACACAAAATGACAATTTCTTATGAAAAAATGACCCTCCTCTATGAAGGAGTGATTGTTCCTTCATAAAAAAACAATAATTTATTATCAAGGAATGATCGTTTATATTTAATCAAAATTATCAGTTGCCATATTAATACCAATTTAGGTGACACGTTGGTTTGTTAGAAAAAGTTTAGAGATTCATTTGTCCAAGTAATATTAACCTTAAAAAATGGATCTATTTTGCAGATAGGAATTTGAAACTAGAGTTTTTTTTTCAATAATCAGGAAATTTCCGAACTTTCGCAAACCCGAGTTCCAAACTGGATTTTATGTAAATGTTTATAAGGGTGCTCAAATCCCATACCTGGCTAAGCCCTCTTGGGCTTAAAAAGAGATATGCAAGTTACAGGTGATACAAAGAATTATATGAAACCTTATTTTATATCTTTTGAATAAAACAAAATGGCAATAGTCTTTACAATCCAAGTAGCATCAATTTGGCTTAAAAATAGTTTGCCAAGCCAATAACTCATCCGATAAGATCCATCAAATACAACTCTATGTAAGGTTACTTCTCAGTATCACACTTTCAGCCTCCAGATCATGCTCGGAGCATCTATTGGCCTTGACCCAGTTGGAATGAGAAGCAGAAGTTAAAATCTTTTTCTGTATTCGTTTTGAAGTGATACAAAGAGAAGAATAAACACTTTTGACTCTGATAGTTTACATGCTGGTACAGTGAACACATCAGCAGATGCATAAGTGCAGGAGAATTGACACTAATTCTGTTGCTTCTTTGCATAGTCCCTCGGTCCAAAAATGGTTGATCCAACTCTGACATTGGTACTTCCCATTTCAATCTGCATAAATCATAAACTCAAACCCATCAATCACAATCAAAATCTATAGATAAACAAAATGGAGGACATAGAAACACGTTCCAGAAATCTAATATTTACCTTACAGGAAAAAGGGCAATATTTAGTTATCATTATAGAAATTTCGAACTTGATGACAAGAATCATGGGAAACTCAGTTCTCATAAGCTGTAGAAGTAATTTTGTCGTTTAGATGTTTGAAAGGAATTTGTCAACTATTTATCCAAACACTTCACTGGAACTTCTAATTCCTCCTAGCATTTTACTATTTTGGAAATGTTTCGCATGAAAAGTTTCGGGAAGCAAACTTCATACGATAAACAAAACTAGGTTTCTAATTTGATCCTATCGTAGCTTTGAAGGGTACAATATCAAGGTATTCAAGATTTTGAACTTCTTGTAGTGTGGCTTATTACAGAATCAAGCTACGAAAGATGCCATTCAATCATCAAGAAGAATGGGAGTTTACTACATTAGTAAGTTCAAACCCGTCAGCATTACATACAGCTTGCTCAAAGTCACCAGACATGCCCATTGACAGTTCGCATTGATCCTCTGCCATTCCAAGCGCCTTGCAAACCTCAAGTCTACAATTTAATAAAGTCTGTTGCATTAAAACACCAAATTAAAACAGAGACAAAGGAGAAATATCAGGAAGGACAAACCAATAAGTAAAACTGCAATAACACATTTGGATTTTATGCCATGTTTTAAGTGCAAAAAATATATAAATACAGGATCCATTACCCTAAAGTTCTCAGGAGTTGATGAATAATCTGGGTTCCCTATTGTCATTAAGCCTGAAAATGCCAAATTTGGGCAGTGCAATTTCACATACTCTACAAGCCCTAAACAACCTGAAGGATCAATGCCTGATTTTGCTGCAATAAAGCCACAATAATTAATGAACTGGGTATTCCAACTTCCAGTAACAATATGAAAGGCGAATAAGTATACAGAATGTTAAGCAATTTTGTGCACAAGTTACATGGAATGGAGGAATATACCGGAAATGTACCTAGAAGGTTAACAAATACATGCGACCAACTTGGAAATGGAAATGGGAAAGAGGTTGCACTTGTCAGAATGACTATACTACAATTATGAGTAGATAATAATAAATTCAAGACTCAGAATGTATAAAAATCCAGTACTATGACTTGTAGAAACAGCAAGAATGCATAAAACATAGTGAGCACGACATCTGAAATGATAGGTAGTCTTCTTAGTACTTCGGCTCTTTAGAAATGAACAAGTAGGTTACAGATAGTTAAGTCGTTCTTCCCCTGATTGAATTAGAAAGCAATGAATGCAATAATGAGGATTAGCACATTTGCTCACATGCTTCTCCACTTGTATTCACTTGGACAAAAACCTTCAAAGGACTTCTTCCAAGGTTTGCAACACCTCGGTCAAGATGATTTGCAATCTGTAAATAACAAAGGCATAAAATAAGCATTTGTCTTAATGAGCAACTGCTACATCATATGAAAATTGCTTAAATTTTTTTTAATAATTTCTATTAGACTTGCAATCAGACACTTCTAAGATACATCACAGCGGTAAATAAAATATATTTTCAACTTATCACAGCTGATATCCAATTATTTAAAGCTTCTTAACATGAAATAGAAGTCGAAAGAATTACATCTTTACCTTCTCATTATCTACACCCTCAAATATGTCCAAATTTGGCACTCCACCTGCATGACTAAAACAAAGCCTTAACACTTGCCATAAATTTTCTCATGTACTGTAAAACAAGCAGCTTCAAATCAAATTAAGCACGATCAAGGGACAAGGTTTGGCAAACTTTGTCAACTCTTCCACACATAAAAGCACACCAATATATATAGAGTTCTCTAAAATCTGAATTGAGCTCCTCGCACAATAAATTTACTAATAGGAAAAATCTGACGAAGTTATATCAACACTTCACTATAACAAAACAATTCTCTTTTTCAATGAATTCCTCCAGCCACAAGTTCAAAACCGGTATATAGTATTTTAACAATACAAGCATCAATAAACAACCAAAATGCAACATACCCAGAAGCGTTTTCACTTTGTTGCTCTGCAAATGCCCAATAAAATGCCACTTTATGTCCTCCGGAAGCTGCAACCAACCCACATAATTACATCATTAACTTATCTAATCAAGAATTAAAACTTAAATCCTCAACCTAAATATTTATTTATTTTTAATTTATTAATGTACTTGCGGAGCTTTGTCGATGATTTCTTGAACATAGTTTTCGCCAAAGCAACGGTGACCAGCATCATAAACTTGGCGGATGAGAGAAACCGGTTTGGTTTTCGATACACCCACGACCCGGATTCGTTCGGGCCGGTGTCCAGATCGCTCCGCCGCTTGTCGGACTCGGAGTAGGACCGAGCGGAGGGCTGTCACAGCGACAGCTGCGCCTTCAACCGCTGGAGCAGCCATTTTTTGCTTCTTAACTGGGAACGTGGAAGAAGCTTTTTCACTTAAAGAGATTTTTTATTTTATTTGTGGATCAGTGAATATTTTGTAAGAGTGAAATAATTGTGGTTTTTATTTATTAAAAATTCAAATAAATAAATAAAAATCATTTTCCTTAGAAAATCAATTTTAAAATTTTATTTCTTCACATTGGTGCGTTTTGTAAGATATTTTATTAGTAAAATTAATCAAAAACATTTTAAATTAATTAGATAACAGAAGTAAATATGCCAATCTGATTTTTAAATTGATTACGAATACCATGTATGATGACATAAGCCAATCAACTAAACCCAAATCATTTATATTAAATTTGTTCTTTTTTTCCAATTACGACGCACTTCAACTAATCCCTCGAGAGCCTGAAACCATGGTTTTAAAACTCGGCCTGGCTCGGTCGGTTGAACCAGTTTGATCGGGAACCGGTGGCTAGACCGAGTCGGTTAATGTTAAAAATCAGAAATAGTAATTGACCCACTTTCACCCGCGGTTAAACCGGTTTTTTTCCAACGAACCACCGGTCTAATTGGTATAACCCGAGTTGCTATAGTAAAATATTAAAAAAAATAGTTAAAAATTAAAAGTAACCCTTTTCAGCTTTTCTCTTCTCCATTTCCTATTTTTATTCGACAAAACCAACACCAGGAGAGAAGAAAAATAAAAGTAAAAAACCCATTAAAAATTAAAATTTGTATTTTTTTAAAAAAAATTTGTTTTTTTTGTTTTTTCTGACATCACCCACCGGTCGGACCGTTCGACCCGTAAAACACATGACCAGGTGGCTTAGCCCCAGGTCGGGTTTTAAAACCTTGCCTGAAACTACCGATCGGGTAAGATCGAGCTCTAGTGGCCACTCCTATTAGCATCAACTAATCCCTCGAAAGCATAGAACTACCGACTGGGTAAAAGCTTTAGTGACCACCCTTATTGACATCAACTAATCCCCTAGGAGCCTAAAACTACCAACCGGACAAGAGCTCCAATAACCACCCCTATTAGCATTAACTAATCCTGTGAGAGCCTAATACTACCGACTAAGGGGGTGTTTGTCTAAGCTTATAAGCTGGTCAAACTTGCTTATAAGCTCTAAAATTAAGCTGACCTGTTTGTTTATAATTTTTTTGAGCTTATAAGTTGAGCTTATAAGCTAAAAAAAATAAGTTGAGGGGGAGGTACTTTTTTTTTTTGGCTTATAAGCACTTTGCTTATAAGCTAGTTTGACCAAGTATATTATCATATTATCCTTATTTAATTTTAAAATTTCATAGTATGCCATTGTTTTATTAATACCTTTTTTAGTATTTTATAATAAAATGTACTTATAGCCACTTTACCAAACACGTCAATTACTTATCAGTCACTTATAAGTACTTTAACCACACACGTAATTGCTTAAAATTTCAAATGCTTATAAGTTAATTTTAGCTTATAAGTAATTGTTGCTTATAAGCTATTTTTATAGCTTAGACAAACACCACCTAAGTAAGGCTCAAGTCACCCTATTAGCAATTGACGAGAACTTGAACTTATACCTCTTGAGTAATACATTCAAAATTCTCTATCGAACCACTCGATCACCTAGAAATTGGCTTGTTCATGTTATGTTATCGTCACAACAACTTTTATATGTCTAATTACTTTTTAAAACAGAAATTCTAAATATTAGCATAGAAGACAATAAAAGAAATTCAAAACCAAAAAAAAAAAAAAAATGCACCAAATTTTAAAGTCCATCATCCTTCAACTAATAAGCTATTAACTTTAAAAGTGAATCAAATTGGATTCCAAAAGAAAATACAAATCAACTTCAATCCAAACAAACAAACAAAAAAAAAAAATATTGAAAAATACTACAAATTTATTTGAAAAGAAATAAATTAAACAACAGTGACTTCAACGTTAGTTTCAGCGCTTCCTTTGGAGGAGGTCGATCGGTTTCTCCATTTCCAACTAAAGATCTCAAAAAACAAAGTAATCAAACCAAAACTCTAGAACTCCAATGTAAGACCATTTCCAAATATGATGCTCTGGCTTCAGAATTGAAATCCCACGGAATATATTGATTGAGATCACAGCAAGCAAAGAATATCCCAGAAAATGATGGTACATGTTCCAGTATTTCCTATATCGTCTTTTCCTTTGGGCCTATCTGCAACGCCAGCATCTGTTACATAAATGGGTCGAATCGGTTAGCATGATCAAATTAACTAAAAAAAAAAAAAAAAATATTAAATTGAGAAGAGAGTTGATTATTACTTGTAAGTTGTGAATGTGAATATGAACATTGCGAGAATCCGGTGAGTATGAAAACTGTAATGTGTTGAAACTTTTCCGAGGCAAATTCCGATGATCCCCCAGCAGTTCCAAGAATGTAGCCAACAAATTTGACAACTGACATGAAGTTATACCAGGACTTGGCCTTTATTGGATGAACCCTACAATATCTGGTAATAAACACCAAGGGCAAGAAAATCCCCCACCCCACATTGTTCAAAATCCCATGTACCTGTAATTATACCCAATAACGTTTTAAAACATTTCGATAACGTTATCAGATGATACGACGATAGTTTAGCTCCTTCCCATTCTCATATGATGCCTATATGTTCCGATGCTTTGACTCTCAAAAGTTTTCAAGTTTATGGTCTCGTACTGTCGACATTCTGGAGATATGAGGATGCATCTCGGCGCCATTTCCTCGGCGAGGTAACCGACCTGCCATACATGGTTCAATCTGGAAATGTTGTACACGCTAGGCAGAGATCTGTTGCATAGATTGTGAAATAACGGTTTGAATCAACTATTCAGTTTTCTTGTTCCTAACAATCACTTCAATTTCAATGTTTGAAGGCTGGGCCTGCAGCCAAGTTTTGATTCGCTGTGATATTGTAAGTGTCAATGGTCAATGAGCCATTTGGGAGCTTGATGCCGATGATGGCTCTGGTGCCAACCATTTAGGTACTTCAAGAGTTCACCCCCCAGGCGAGCCACCCCATTTCAGAATGTACTTTGTGCCTAAGAAAATGTCAATTCTTCTCTCATCATTGTCTAGTAATTCCACCCAAATTCACCCCTAAAGTGGGTAATTTCTTGCATTGTGTGATGTTTCTTTTGCTTTTCAACCTGGAGAAGGCTTCACTGCAAGTATTAATGGCGGGAATAGGAGAAATGCCATGGGGAAAAGGATACAAGGCCAATATGAAGATTATAGTAGGCCTAGTTGATGAAGAATACATTTTTGAGTCTCTTTGATGATGTGTATGTTTTCTTTGTTTTACAATATAGTTTAGTTTATATTATGTGTAGCTATGTTAGCTTTTAGCTTTGAATGTTTAGAGTGTGATATATTAATTACTTCTCTTTTCTGGTAAGCCCCCTGCAAGAAGTTCTTTGTAAAAGTAGAAAAAGAGGCCTCAGAATTCACTCTACATATATATAATATATGCTTTTGTTGAATAATCACCAGTTATTTATCCGGCTGTATTTGTTTCTTGCCAAAAACTTAAAGCTATAAGCTTATGTTCACTTTAAGTTTCTGATGGTGATATACCTCTCTAATTAGGTAAGAATATTTGCTCTTTTTCAACTGCATTTGTTTCGATGTCATAGATAAATGTCGTCGTAATATGCCACATATATCAACGCCGTTGGCCACTCAACGACCTTCCGCACAAGTTGTGCCGTTACAAATCTCTATTACGGTTGATTATATAAATTAATGTCTAGCCACCCTTAGCAACAATTGATGAGGGATTTGAACTCAAGACCTTTTAAATAATACATTCAGAGTCTCTATCGAACCACTTGATCACCGCAGATTGGTTATATATTGTGTGTTTCAATCTTAGAATAGTAATGTGTTTCTGGATACTTAACTTCTTACTTTGATTTTGGATATATTTCCATAAGTGTGTTTGGGTGGGTAGAAAAGTTATGTAGCATCTTTTGGTGACACCACGTAGTTTTATATGCTTATTCACCAAGCATTGGTAATTATCACGAACGTGTTCAGGTCAAACAGCCATCTATAATTATTTTCTTTCATCACCTCACAGTTCAAGAAATTCCTTACCTTTGCTCACACCATACATGTAAAATAAGAATTCTCCTCGTCTGTCTTACTCTTTTCAGCTTTTTTTTAATGTAGGATGAGTTTATAGAGGTTTTAAAGAAGAATTTTCTTACCAAAATGGCACTATATATATATATAATATATTATTATATATGAAGCATTACTATTGTAGCCTCAAAGCTCTAGAGGTACTTATTGTCTACAAAAAACTTAAAGTGAACAGTACTGATAATATTACCATGATACCATCCTCTAAAATCTTTATATTCAAAAGTTCGGATCTTCAGAACAATTTTGGATACCACAAGAAATTTGGTTTTTTCCGACACATTTATTCAGATGTAGACAAATTTCATTGGAAAAAACTATCACTGGGTGATCGAGTGGTTCGATAGAGACTCTAGGTGTATTACTTAATAGGCGAGTCCCTTTCGGTTGCTATAGGGATAGTCAAGAACCTCTTGCCTACCGATAGTTCCAAGGTCCCAAGATTAGTTAAGGTATACAAAGCTGGTCCAAACACCCTTAATCACCCAAAAAAAAAAAAAAAAAAAAATTCATTGGAAATACCCTCGGTTGCGATGCTGATGAGCATCACCGAAACAGTGAAACTTGATCATCTTCTGCCGAAATTTGCAAGGTTGAGAAGGTGTAGTACGACGCCACATTCCGTCTAAATAAAGGGATAAATTTGGTGTCTAGAATGAATGTTGCAATGCTGGCACGATGTCACAGAGCATTCTGTTTGCCCAGCTCTCTTCCACCCCACCGATCCTGATTTAAAAAATTAATTTAATTTATTGGAACAGATGAAAAACTATCTTTATGAAAGATCTGTTTTTTTTTTTTTAATCATCGATTTTCAGAACTAATTTTGCATACCTAAACTATTTTCCCAAGATCTTGGAACTATTAGTCGGATAAGAGCTCTGTACTACTCCTATTAATACCTAGGGGACTCGGACTCGAATTCAAGAACTTATAGAACCCTTTTTGCTCTTTTATCATTCTGTTTTATCTATTCAATCAAGACAAACAGAACTCTTATTCACTGATCATAATTAAGGCAATGTCATCTTCAAATAAGACTGTAACTGGAAATAGTCATATTGTATAAAATTTATAGATTGAAGTCGCACATACTGCATACAAGTCTTCGACAAAAATTTATCTAACAACTATTGACTATTGTTTCATAGTCTTAAGATTAAGAGCTCTAAAAATCCCACATGCCTTTTGACTTGAATTTCATATATAAAATATACTATATAGTATACGGTGTCATCAGTTCAATGGTTTATGTTATAATATATTCTCACTTTCATTTAGTCTGTCTATACTCTCCCGTGTCCCCTCCATTTACTTGTTTTAAATTCAGAAAAATCAGAGAGGAACCTAACTTAATCTGTCTTGCTTTATGTTACATTTTTTATACCATAAAGTAGACCACTCCACTATCAAAACCCTTCATGTGTCAACCTTAGTTTCTTCTATATAAACCCCTCTCATCCTCACTCTCTCCTCGCTCCATCCCTTTTAAAAATTCCTTCCTTTTCAAGCTTAACATAGACAACTCTTTCTCTTCTTCTTTTCTTCATAATTAATTTGACCCCATGAAGTCCACAAAGCCATTCTTGATCTTGGTTCTCCTTATGGACATTCTAGTTCTACACATTGTGGCACAAACAATACTAAATGTAGAGGAAGAAACTAACAATAATGAAGTTGATTATGAAGCTCATGAAGAAGATGATGACGATTTTGGTCATTCTTTTAGCGGCGCCGGCCGGTCGCTGAGGCAAAGAAAAGGCACTTGGAATCTCAGGTTAACTTGTAAGAAGTTCCCTAAAATTTGCCAGTCCAAGGGGAGCCCTGGACCGACTTGCTGCAAGAAGTGTGTTGATGTGTTGAAGGACCGGATGAATTGTGGAAAGTGTGGGAAGAAGTGCAAGTTTAATGAGATTTGTTGCCGAGGGAAATGCGTTAATCCGTCGTTCAACAAGAAGCATTGCGGCCGATGCGGCAATCGCTGTGACAAAGGAGAGTTTTGCTCTTTTGGTCTGTGCAATTATGCCTAGTAGAAGAGATAGTTGTGCTGTTTTATTAGTAATTGGGATGTGGAATTCTTTTAGTAGATTAATTAACGACAAAATGTTGTTCATTTAATTGAAAGATTGATCCATTTTGTATAATCAATAATATTGTTTAATTTTAATTGCATTTTATTTTAATTATTATAATAACCATTAAATTATTTTGTAATGCTTATAAATTATAATGGAATTGAACGAACGATAATAATAATATTGAAGATAATCTTTGTAATTCATCTTTATTTTGCATCTCTTTTGTTTAAATTATACAATTTTCAAAAGCTTATTAGTTACCATTATAAATGAATTTATTAGTTATAATGTGAGAGAATTATAGGATGAATAAAATCCTTATAATAAATAAGACTAACCACTTTTTCCTGCCCAAGGTTTGTCTTAATGACACTTTCCCACCAAAAACGTTTCAAAATACCACTTTCTCACCCAAGGTTTATATTCCGTTAATATATAAAATACACTTCACTGACATTCGGCGAGTTATTAGCAGTAAGGGTAAGAGTGTTTTTGTAGTGTGGAGCCCGATGGATCGAATGATGGTGACCGATTGAATAATCGTCGCCAGAATTATCCGAAAATCAGCTAAGAATAAGAAACTCTAGTTTTGTGGTGGCCAGCAATCACCTAGAAATCAGATATCGAAGTGAGAGAGATTCTGTAGAGAATAGACCAAAGATTCAAATGATGGTGATAGATAGAATTTCGCCGCTGGAATTGACTTTGGGTACGTGGTATCGGAATATTAACTGCAAGTGGAAAAACGTTATTTTGAAACTTTTTGGATGAGAAAGCGTCATTAAGGCAAACCTTGGGTGAGAAAAAGTCGTTTATTCTAATAAATAATAGCCATACTATAATTAAGCTAATCATTGGATTAATATAAAGCAATTTCCAAAAAAGAACATGCTACATGTGTCGATTAACCATATGTTCTAATAATAAAGAATGAACTTAGAATAATTTAACATCAAGAACAAAGAGAGTAATACAAATTAATTTATAGAATAAGTTATTTTGGGGATTAATTAACGGGATCTAACCGCAAGGAGCTAAACAGGTGTTAACACAGCCAGCTAAAAGCTAACCCCAGTTATATATTAAGCTTTTAATTATGTAAATATCTTGGCACTTAGTATGAATTATGTTGTACGCTTTAATTGTATCTCAATCGCACTTTGAGTTTGGCATATGAAAAATAGAAAAAAAACAAGGGAAAGGGAAAGAGAGATGTATGTACACTGATTTCGGCTACAGGTATAAATTAATTAACATTCTGCCTTGATCGCACTTCTACATGTATGTCAATTTGTGGATTCAGTCCCCACCACATTCGATATACTAAGATTTGGTGGACCAAATAATTGTTTTATGATTTGTTAAATATAATTTGCAGTTCATTTTGCTTTAGTAACGATGTTTGAATAACATGTAGCACCATACATTTAGAGCTAATGACTTTTTTTCCACCCAAATAATAGTTTATTGACATTTTTCCACCTGCCGGCTTTGAAAATGTCACTTTACTATCCAAATTTATATTCTCACGACGAACAAAGAGGAAACTCAGTCCAGGTTATAGGGCTTTTAAAGAGGGGAGACCAATGTTGGATTTTGGCTGTGTGAACCAATAATCATTCGATTGTTAGTGATTGGCGAGGTCGGCGAGAGTAAGGTTTGATGAGTTTTGGTGAGTGATGATCGGGGAAGAGAATAATGGTGGTGTGAGGTCGCAACAATGTCGAAATCGAAAACGGAATATAAAATTGGGTAGTAAAGTAGTATTTTAAAAGTCTGTGGGTGGGAAAATATCATTTAATCATTATTTGGGTGGGAAAATTCTCAAATGCAGAGACTTCATTGGTAGATATTAAAAAGATGAATTTTTATACGAGTAAACGACTTTTTCCCACCCAAGCTTATTCCACCCAAAAGGTTTACAAATACTACTTTTCCACCCAAATTTATATTCCATTACTATCCAAAGCCAATTACAGAGATGAAAATTCTCTCCGTCACCACCATTTGAACCTCTAGTCTCATTTCTACAAAACCCATCTCATTTTCGCACTTAATTTCTTATCGATTATCAACCACCACAAAGCTAGAGTTACTTGTTCTTAGCTGGTTATCGACGACGAATATTAATTCGATTGGTCACCACTATTTGATCCACTAGCCTCCACTCTATAAAACCCCTCTTACCATAAGTCTTGATAACTCGGTGAACACAGACTGAGAAAATGAAATGTATTTTGGGTATTAACGGAATATAAACTTTAGGTGGGAATGTAGTATTTTGAAACTTTTGGGGTAGGAAAGTGTCATTAAGGCAAACCTTGGGTTGGGAAAAGTTGTTTACTCTTTTTATATTGAAAATAATAAATTTTTAACTAAATTTTTGTCATTTAACATTAGGTAGCACTAATATACAATTATTGTAAGTAAACTAGGTTAAAAAATGAGGACATTCCTTCATGAAATGGAATATTTATACATATAAATACTCGTATACGTATACGATGAAGTCTAATATTTTGTTTTAGGGTCAAGTTATATTCTAATTTAAATTTTTTACACACAATAATCTTTTAATCTTTGATTAAATCGGTACAATCCAATGAAACTAATTAAGAAGAAGTTGAAGGTAGACTAGCTAGCTAGCCAATAATTTTAATTGTAATTAATTATAAACTTCTAATCCATTGAATCTAAGGTATATTATGAAATAGAAAAGAGGCTTAATTTATTTTTAGTATGAGTTGACCTTCCTTGTTATATGTATGTGGAATACAATTAGTACCACTAACATTAACAAGGATGACTTATTTGCAAAACTCGGAAATTAATTGAACCATCTTCAGAGATTTGTATTCTACTTAAAACACATATGAAAGTTTTACATGTGACTAGTTATATATTAAATTAAGTAGTCCAAATTAATCTACTTTCTTGTTTTGAATAATTTAATTAAATAAGCTTGATTTTTTGAAGCATTAAGAGTGCTACAAATGGTAAGAAGAGCCTTTTATTTTCTTATCACGTGTTAAATTATATATATAAATCGAGCTCTTATTTGATAACTTAGGGTCTATTTGTTTTGTTATTTTGGATAGGATTTTGGGAATAATATTGGGCATGTTTGGCTTATTATTTCTGCCCATATTCTCAATCATATTCTCCAAATAATGTTTGGCACATTATTCCAGAAATATTACCATATTTTTTTTATTACTTTTATACCCCATAAGGTTATTAATTTCATTAAATATCCCCTAAAAAAAAGTTTAAAAACTAACAAAAACACCCCCGTGACCCATACTGCCAGATTCCGGCAACCACCGTTGATGGTAGCCGGAATCTGCCACAACGGTGAATTACCGACCGGAACTGGCCGGTAATTCACTGATCTGGCCTTTGCGACGGCCAAAGATGACCGTCGTTTTGGCCTTTTCCGATCATCAACGGCCACAGTAGGTCATAGATCTGGCCGAAAAAGGTCATAACAATGATTTTTCGGCCAGATTCCGGCGGTGGTGGCTGGAATCTAGCGCTACAGGTGGTGGGGGTATTTTTATCATTTTATATGTTGGGGTGTTTAATTAAATTAGTAAACCTAGGGGCTTTTTTATAAATTTTTAAATTTTACCTTGTAATACTCCCCTATTCAACTACCCAATATTATTCCCAAAATCCTATCTAAAATAATAAACCAAACGCACCCATTGGGTAGTTGAATAGGAGAGTATTACGAGGTAAAATTTAAAAATTAACAAAAAAACCCATAGGTTTGCTAATTTAACTAAACACCCCAATATATAAAAAATTTGTAAAATGACAAAAACGCACCCACCCACCCACAGTGCCAGATTCCAGCCACCATCGTCCGAATCTGGCCGAAAAATGGCATTATGACACAAACCGATCGGATCTGGCAGATAGGGCGTCAATATAGTATTTTTCGGCCAGATCCACCACATATCTGGTCGTCGACGGCCGCAAAAGTCTAGATCTGACGGCCAGATCTGGGCTTTTCCGACCATATCCATTGTGGATCTGGCCAGAAAAGGCTTGATCGGTGAATTACCGGCCAGTTCTAGTCGTTTGTAGGCTGTTGTGAGAGAATTTCAACTACCATCGACGGTGATTATCAGAATCTGGCAAGTATGGGTGGGTGGGGATGTTTTTGTTAATTTTTAAACTTTTTTCTAGGGGTATTTATGAAATTAATAAACTTAAAGGGTCTAAAATAATTAAAAAATATACTAACATTTCTCAAATAACGAAACAAATAAGTATTTTGGGAATATGATTGACAATATGGATAGAAATAATAAGGGAAACGGAGCCTTAAATTTTTAGGTCTAAGAAATCTTAATATGATATCAGAACTCAGGTCTTAAGTTCAAACTCTTACACGTACAAATGTGTGATAATCTTTGTTTTTGTCTCGGTTTTATAGTGTTTTGCCGTCGATCGATTTCTTAATATCGATCATGCATGATAGTTCTAGGAGTTGATTAAAGTTTGGTCCTAGTTTACTAATAGAAAATAAATACAAATGCATGGCAACTGGTTTTGAGTTGTGTGAATCTTTTATTTTTTGTTTTTGTCATAGCCAAAACGTAGCATGTGAAGGGGCTATTCTTCTGGATCAAATAACATGTGGTATTGAGCGAAATCCATGTGCAATTGAGCACCAATATTTCTTGAGGGCCACAATTCCGTCTGTGTTGTAGCCTTCAAGTAATCTTCTTGTTCACACGAAAGATCAAAAAAAGGCTGGCTTTAATTTGCTCTCCATGCATGTTACCATTTGAATATTTGATTCGATTGAAATGAAATTTCTTTTTACTCCAAATAGAATGCTTAATTAGTTATCAAACAGCTTAGCTAACTTGTAAAGGAAAGAAGCTTATAGACTTCAGAATTTTGACCATTTAAAAAGCCCCCATCACTTGGAAATATTTTATTAATGAATTTTGTTGTAAAATCTAGCAGTTTCGTATGTACTACTTTAGTTCACATGGTATAGGTTCGTCCTATTGTGACGCCAATTCTACATCGTTGTAGACATGTTTTCCAACGTAAATTTCAACGAGAAAACGATCAAAGAATTGCAACGTCTTATTATATCACTAGAGGCATCATTTACCAACATCCTCATTGGCATAAAGCAGTTTCCTGTAGTATAATAAATGAGAGACTCTTGGGTGTATTATTCAAGAGGTCATGAATTCGAGTCTCTCATCTATTGTTAATATGGGTGGTTATTAAAGCTTTTACTCGGCCGATAGTTTTAAGGTTCTGAAAGTTTAGTTGAGATACGCAAACACCCCCGATCATTAAAAAATAAAAAATTATATATATTGTTGACAACTTTCTAAGGAAAATTTGCAAGAAAAATGAGTATAATGATAAACTTTTATTAATCATATTAAACATACATAATTGAAAGGGAATTGTATTATCCAGCATTTATTTATTAAAAATAAGAAAACAATAAATTGTCTCCCCTCTATACACTTTCAAGTATCTCCCCTTGGCCAAAAATTGTATAAGCTAAATTAATAATGAAAATGTAGTCAAATACATATTTCTTATAGTACTTCTTTTGTAGAATTACATTTAGATATCAATCGAAACATTCAAATGATTTTTTTAAGAGACGTAATTAATTTTTATAAACTATAATGTTTTGAGAAACCACCAAGTTTTAAAGTGGCTATTTTATTGTATTAAGAATAAATTACGAACCTCACGAACTCAAACGCACCGTATCATTCAATCATCATCATCATCAATATTATGCGTAATCACACATTCCATAAACACAATATTCCCCCGTGGGGCACCGGTTGTTGCAGGAGCCACAATGCCTCTTATCGAATGAGAGATTCACACACTCGCCGCGGCAGCAAGTTTCTGTGTACTTGCACTTATTCTTGCAGGCACCGCAGTTTTTGTCATCGGTCGATAAGTCCATGCACTTGTTGTTGCAGCATGTCGCGTTCTGGCCTTGAGCGTAACAGACTTCATTATCTTTGTGGCAGTGATCAGCAGCTCTAGGGTTCTTCACCTCTGCGAGAAACCGGCTGCCCCGTTTAGTAGGCAAGACGATCGTGTTATCATGAGTAGGATATCCATTCTCGAATGGCGACGTGGACGATGAAGGTGTCTCCTCGACGTTCCCGATGTTTTGCATGGTGAGAGTGATGGTTATGGCCATTGTTATGGCGATGGTCAAGATGATTTTGATGAGTTTCATTGTTTTGAGAGGTGAGAGGGGGAGAGAGATGAGTGAGGGTTGGTATATTTTAGGGGTTGGATTGTTTGGGAGAGAGAGAGAGAGAGAGAGAGAGCTGAGTTGTTGGGGAAAATGGGGGATTGAAAGTTAGGGTTTATAGGAGGACTGAAGGGAGGGAGTTGACGCGGGAAAAGTGGTGAAAAGGTAGAAGAAAGCTCGTTGGGATGTGCTGCAAGCTGCAAAGAGTGTGCTTTAATTTTTAGTTATTAGGGTTCTTAGTTCTTAATCAAGAAAGTCTGTGTGATTTGAGCGCCTCATTATTTAATTGTAAATCGTGTACCTTCTTTATGAAATGACCATGCTATCCCTTGATTTTATTTTTCATGTGTTTATATTTTTTCATTTGTTAGAAAATTCGTAAGTAATATATCGTATTTGATTAAAACTAAAACTAACAGTTTTCTAATAAATGTAAGGTTCAAGCTTAATCAAGTAGATATGATTCGCTTATATGGTAATAATAAAGATAGACTGACAAATGAATCTCACAAACTCTGACGTGACAGTTGAGTTGGTAGCTCCACCACACCCAAAGCACAAAATGATTTTGATTAGATCCAAGAAACAGTTGTTCATAAAAAGAATCTCGTTCCTTGAAGAAACGATCATTCCTTGATAAGGAACAGTCGTTGCTTGTGAAGGAATGACCGCTCCTTCATAAGGAACAATAACGATTATTCATTTTTAGTCAAATTCGTCAGTTGATATGTTAATACCATGGTGCAACATCGGTTTGTGAGATTCGTTTGTCAGCGTAGTATTATCTTTATTGTAAATATTGTTTGTTCTGAGCTTTCCTCACACAAAATTGCAATTAAAATTCATTCAAACGTCATTCACCCAGAATATGTCTAGTTAGTTGAGAGAATAAAAAAGTTTAAATATTAATTAGACTCTTATGAACAAATATAACAATGAATCTATGCCACGTCTCTATTATTTCTTTCTTATTTATCTTTATATTAGTTGTTGTTAGTAGTTTCTAAATGCAATAATTATTGAATATGTATGCATTAATTTGTAGTACTGTATCAACAATACCATCGTGATACCATAAGCTTTCTTTGACTCTTATCCATCATTCATTCAAGAGTAATGTGAAATGAGACGGTAAATGTTTTCAAAACAGCAGTGTGGCATGTAACAAATTAACAATACATCTTATCAGAAGATTTACGCTTGAGAATTATGATGTAATATTGATTCATTTTAGAAAATTCAATTGAATTATATGATTATAATTAAATACCAATTGCCAAAAGTCAAAGGGCAAATATGTCTTTTGGCCATAGTTTGACTTTATGAAGACCTTAAGCTAACGAAAGCCATGGGGTGTCCAAATGCCGACCTGAGAAAATGTAGGCATGCTGTGAGGAGAAGCAAAGGGAGTTTAAACACTTCCAAATTTAAGCAAACAGGGCCCTAAACATCCTCCTGCTAGCTCACTAATCATAATTTAATTTCTAGATACAAAACTTAAGCTCAAAGAAGGGTCTTTGTACAATCAATCTCTTGATTAATTTTAATTTAATTTCTTAATTAATGATACAATAATAGCAAGTTAACTATCAATGAAGAGAATTAAGAACCACATTAACACGTTTATTGATTAATAAGTTAGTTATTTAAGAATTGAGAATCATACGTACGTTTGACAAATGGCAGGATGACGTAATAGGGAGCGAACTTTGATGGAGTTTACAAATGTTTTATTAAGAGTTAACGACATGTTACCACCTAGAAAATGGCCCATTTACATTTTCCCACCCTCAAACTTTTAAAACACCCTTTTACTACCCAAATATTAGGTTATCCTCTTATTTGGGTGGGAAACAAATTAATTTACTAAAAAACCCCTCTCTTCTTTCTTCTTTTCTCAACCTTTTTCGTTGTCGGCAATTGCCGTCGGCGTTGGGAGTGTCGACGACCAGAAAATCAACAAACAAACATTCCTCAATTGTATTTTAATCCAACAAACACAAAAATGGTACGAATCAAACCCAATCAATCCAATTAAAACTCAAAAAACCCTAACGTGGGGAAGCTTCAATCATTGGCGATTGGTGAGCAAACAAGATCGGGAATGTTGGGGCATTTGGAGAGGAAGATTCAGGGAGTTGATCGGTGGTGGTAGGGATGATTTTTGACATTGGAAACGACTAGAAATCGGCTTGGAAGTTGAAAGGTCGTGCGGTTCACGGTCAGTGATCGGTAGGCAAGGGACGGTGATGGAGGTAAGGGATTTTGTAAAGTGGGTTATGGGAAGTGTGATAGTGGTGTCTAGGTTAATTTTTGGCAAAGAAATCGATTGGAAATCCGACTTGAACAGTTGGCCGTGCGAATGGAGGTGGTGGTGGGAAATGGTAAGTGATGACGACAAATGGAGGCTTGGGCTTCGTAAAGGAGGTGATGGAGATTCTTTGGGTGATGTCGAAAGTGATTTTGAATGCGGGGATCGGCTTGAAAATGGTAAAAACCCGTCGGATCTGACATTGCTAACGTGTGCCATCTTCTGCTAATGTGCATCGTTCTTCTTCTCTGGTAGCCACTGTTTGGTGACCATTTTGCCCTCATTAATTATGGGCTTTTGACCATTTTGCCTTTCCTGACAATAAAAATTACTAATAAAATTATGTTTTAGGTACTGAAATGGTATTTAAAATGCGGGTGGGTATGAATTTGTGAATAGGCTAGTTTTTGGGTGGGAATTTGTTAATGGGCTCCTTTTATTGATGTATGAACAGGGAATAAATTAATTCTTTTAGGGTTTGGGAATTTGAGCTTACAAGGAATTAATTAAATGTTTTATTTAATGTGAAAAGAACTAAGTTGACCTTCTTACTCTAACCCTAAAGAATGCCTCTTCTAATAGTTAAATAAAGCTACTATTACTAACTAATTAATATCTTTGATGGGTTGGATGGTACGGTAATTGAGGCAGCCATTGCCGAATTCATATTATTTTTATTTGTTTTTGTTATATATTTTTTTTAATTACTAGAGTGTCCATACTAGCTTACGCATACCTCAATTAATTTTACAGAACTCTAAAACTATCAGTCAGTTAAGAACTCCAGTGGCTACCCAGATTAACAATCAAGGAGAGACTCGAACTCAGGATCCCTTGAGTAATACATTCAAGAGTTTTCATCGAATCACTCAGTCATCCAGATATAGTTAAATTTATAAAGATAGTTAAACTAGACAAGTCTTACTATACGAACAACATTTTTTTTTTTATTGTTTCGAATACCCAATTACAATTTACAAATACTATTTATCGAGACAAAAATAATAACATATTTACATATAGTAATTAGTTTATAGGGGGTCCAATCTGTATTTTGTTTTAATATGGATATGTTATATACATCAAGAGATTTAGAAGAATCTCTTTATTTATACCTTTTATTAGATTTTAGTTTTAAAAAAAAAAGATTTGGGTCCAATCTGTATTTTGTTTTAATATGGATATGTTATATACATCAAGAGATTTAGAAGAATCTCTTTATTTATACCTTTTATTAGATTTTAGTTTTAAAAAAAAAAGATTTTTTTTTTTTTTTTTTTAAGGTATGGCATATGAAAAGTTATATTAGTAAATTAATGTTTCTATTATAATTTTTTTACTCTAAATATTTATATATAAGAATGATTTTTTTATGGCCCAGATAGTTTAAACAAATTGAGGATAGTGTAGATAAGCATATAGTTTCATATTCGATTCCATATTTGAGCAAAATAGGATTGTTGCGCTAATTTTTCCTGAATTAATCCAAAATTTAAATAAATATACATAATATTATTTGATTTGAATGCCTAATGCATGTTTTGAGCTTTTATTTCATTCCAACTTAATTTCTACACTAACATGATCGTGATAAGTTGTATCATTATATATATATATTACAATTTAAGTGCTTATAATATCTTGCGGATTTACAATCAAAATTTAAATGATAATTAAAAGAATATTGTGGAGATTATAAATAACAAAGAAAAAGGTACATGTGATTTGTCTTTAATTTTAAAAAAATATAAAGTACCATCCTGAACTATCACCACTTTGATCTTCATGCTGGGAATTGGGATGCATTTATATATGCCAAGATCCTGCCTCGACTGTTGACCAAAAACAATTACAGAGGTTTAGGATCTTAAATATTTGATTAAGCCAGACAAATCCCACATAATTATCATGAATCTCAACAATGCGCTTGTATCCGTATTAACAATTAGTTAGCCACTTATAATCAATGCATTACGCTATAATCAATCTCAACAATGCGCTTATATCCGAATTAACAATTAGTTAGCCACTTATAATCAATGCATTACGCTACAATCAATGTTGGCGTTGGCTCAATTTTTTTAGGGCCTTTGTAAGATTACTTTAATAATTTATATTTTAATTCGGTCATTACGTTGTTTGGTTCAACAAATAATAAAAGATTCTAGTAATTTTTAATTACTCATGTAATATGAGAGGTGATATAAAGGGCCCGTTTGGATCAGGTTGAAATTTTTTAACAAGGGTAATATTTGTTTAATTGAGCAAATTACCGTGTTTGGCATTTTTGTACAAAAATATTACGGTAAAATAAGATGACAAACAATGCTCAAAAGGGGGTAAATTGCAGGGAATATTTGTACCTGATGGGGGGCTAATATTAAAATGTTACCCGGGTAATCATAATTTATGTCTAATCTTGCCCCTAAACAGTATATTATGCAGACAAAAATATCATTTGGTTTATTAATAATTATAAAATAGCCAATTTGCACAAACAGACGTATTTGTCCTCAGTTTTTTTATTTCTAGACGAAACTGCCCAGTTTTTTATCATTTATTTCAGAAATGCGACGATGACTTGTGTACCCATATTATCCTCAGATTTTTGCATATTGTGACCAATATGCCCTTTAACTTCAATAAAACTACAAGATAAAAGAAAAAAAATTCCTAAATCGCACAACAGGCACGATTTCGTTCTCAGATCTCTACGCTAAACTCGTTCGCCGCCGGTGGAGAAAAATATCTCGACGATCTTGTTCGTCAGTCTGATCGGTATTTCCGGTATGTGGTTTGCCTTCTTTTCTTTGAATGTAGCGTTATTTGTTTCGATTGCAACCGTAAACCCTAACTTTGAAATTTTCCGTCTGTCATTGGTCCACCATCTTCGCCATTTGCTTCTTTGTTTTGCCACCGTCTACTAATAGAAACCCATTGGAATTGATCAGTTATTTTATAGAATTAATCGGTTAATATGTACATGGTGAGGCAGAGTTCAGTATGACTTACTCATTTGTTGAGGTCCTTATTGTCTTATCATCAGTTGTTTGATTTATTGTTTTCTTGAATCTATACTTGGTTTGATAACATAAGTGCCTCGCTACCTGTTCTGTTGCTGTCTGCCTGTTCTGTTGTTGAGTTTTTAAGGATGTTTTTGTTGTTCTGTTGCTAAGATTTTAAGGCTGTTTTTTTTCTTCTGTTGCTGAGTTTTTAAGGATGTTTTCGCTGTTTTGTTGCTAAGATTTTAAGGTTGTTTTTGTTGTTCTGTTGCTGAGATTTTAAGGCTATTTTTTGCTGAGGTTCTAAATTGTTGTCTTTTATGCTCTGTTGCTGCTCGTTGTTGAGATTCTAAGTTGTTGCTTTTGCTATTATGCTGTTGAGACTCTAAGTGACTATCCTTTGGTGTTGTGGTATTAAGCCTAGTTAGTAAAAACGCGTATTATACGTGAATTGTACGGACAGCCATATAATTCGCGTATAAAAGCGCGTATACGTATTTTGTAAAATCTGCTGTATAATTCGCGTATAATAAGGTTTTTCGTATAATTCACGAATTATTCTCGAATTTTTGAAAAAAAAAAAAAACAAAATCTCACACCCCCAAAACGACGTCGTTTTGGTGGGTTTTTACAAAAAATTAAAACATATCTCATTCAGTCGTTCTTCTTCAGTTCTTCGGCAGTTAGCAGTTCTTCTTCTTCCTTAGTTTTTCTTCAGCTTTTCTTCCTTAGTTCTTCACGTTTTCAGCTTTCTTCATCTCTTGTTCTCTTCTTCCAGGCTTCAACTTCAAGTTCGGAACTTCAAGGTACACACTTAACACTTGTTCTCTTCTCTTTGAATGTTATTGGTTGATTGCTTGTGTTTGTGTTGGTGTGACTTGTGTTGTGACTTGTGAGTAGTAGTAGACTAGTAGTAGGAGGGGTTGGTGGATTGATGGATTTGTTTGAAACATATTTGATGAAATGCTTGTGAGAGACCAAGAGTTATATTTGTATTTGTTACTGTGGTTGGTTGTGAGGACTCTGGGCTTGATTGGTTGTCTAGTTGCACGAATGGCTTGAGGGGATTGTGATGGATAGTGGCTTCTTTAGAGGGCGTGAAGATGTAGCTAAATGGGTTGCTAGAGTGATTTGGTCTATTTGCATTTTTGGCTTATGCCGAATCTTAGTTGGGAAGGGAATGAACTTTATTTGGATTTATTGTTCCCATCGAATTCTCTGGAAAATGCCCCAGAAAATTCAGCAGCTTTTGCGATTGCAATTTTGCTTTTGCCCCGCTGGTTGGTATGTGTGGTTGGCTTAAAAAGCGCTGCTATCCTTGGCTCTCTCTTTGCTCTTAGTTTTTACGGGGTTGTAATTTTTAGTGCAGATTTTTGTTGGTTGGTGCTGGTATAGGCTTGTTAGTTGTATACAATTTTTGGTTAGCTTTTTGGTGGGCCCGAGAAGCTAGAGCCTTGAATTTTGTTTGGCTTTTGAGGCTCCTTTTTGTGTAATTAGTAGGTTCTCTCTCGCCTGGAAGACAAAGATACTTGCTTTTGTACATTACTGGAAATTAGTTTTAGTTTCTCTTGTTATCAGAATTCTACTCTCTTGGTTTACCTATTATATTATATTACATGGTTTTGTCCCAGTTTGTTTTAAGATCAAGTATTCATCTGTTTCCTTTCCTACATCTTATAATATAATAGATAACGCAATCAGATGAAGTTATCTCATCATATCTAGTTTAATAGCCAAGTCTAGAATTATTTAATTACAGTGAGGGATTAGATTGGTGTTGGTACTACTCATTTGTTGCATGAAAGTTTGCGTTTTAAGAATAATATTAATTTGAAGTTACAAGTTTTGGATGATGATACCGCTATTGCTTTGAGAAAGTATTGCTTGACTTACTATGACATAAGGGCCTTGATTCTAGACTTGGCTATTAAACTAGATATGATGAGACATTTGGACTACTTGGCTATTAAACTGTAATTAAATAGTTCATATGAAGAATAATGTTATCTCCACACTATAAACTAGTTTATAAGAACAGTTAAGAGTGACAAAAACATGAAACTCATTGAAGAAACTAATGCCATCATAAATATTCACAATGGACTATAAGATCATATTTCAAAGAGAAAATCCAAAATTTTTTGAATTTTCTCCTTCCACCTAAACATGCCGAGAGGGCAAAGAAATTATAAAATTTCTAATAAACCAAGGGATGAGTAGAGGAGGAACATATGCTTAACTTTTTCCATAATTTTGTTATTTTCCACAATAAGATTATATGCTATCATGCTTAGGAAAGAAAAAAGATTATATGCTAACTTTTTTTCTTTTGTATTTGATGATGTTCTCTTTTATGTTCTTGTAAATACAGACTCAAATCAATATGGTACGAAAAAAAGATAAAATTTGGGAGCATGTTGAGGAGCTCCAAGGGAATAAATGGAAATGTAAATTTTGTCAAAAAGTATTTAGTGGTGGGGCTTACAGAATTAAAGCACACTTGTCTGGAATTACTGGCCATGATGTTGAGATTTATAGTAAAGTCAATCATGAGACACAAGTATGTGCATTCTTAGCTATGTCTGGAAGTGGAAGTAACAAAAAATTAAAAAGTTCAGCCGGTTCTTCTACTGCTTTAAACTCTAATGATCATAAGGAGGAAACAAATTCAGGGTAGCCAAAGACGTCAAAGTCAAGCATCTTTACTAGAAATAAATAAGAAAAAAGAGAAGGAGTTTGTTGATAAAATGCTTGCTAAGTGTTTTGTGGTGAACAATATTGCTTTTAATGTTGTTCAAACTGGTGCTTTTGGAGAATTTTTCAAGGCAGTGGCTGAATATGGTGCAACATACAAGCTTCCATCTTATTCAACTCTTCGAACTAAGTTAATTCCAGAATCTAGAAAAGGTGTTGATGAGTATGTTGCTATGGTGAAGCATTCGTGGGATACATCTAGATCTGGCTGCACAATGTCTGATATATGGATTGATATAAGGCACCGATCTTTCATTAATCTTGTGGCATATTTACCTGCTGGTGCAGTGTTTATAAAATCATTGGATGTTTCTCGAGAAAGAAAAACTGGAATTTATCTGAAAGAAATTGTTGTTTCTGTGATTGAATCAATTGGACAAGAACATGTTGTGCAATTCATAACTGATAATGGTAGCAATTTCACATCTGCTGGTGACATGCTCATTGGATTGTATCCTCGAATGTATAAGACGAGGTGTGTTGCTCATGGAATTCAGCTTCTTTGAAAGACATATATGAAGAAGTTAATTGGGTAAAAGTTGCCACATATGAAGCAAGAATAATAGTTATGTTCATGACACGGTACACAGTTCTTCATGCAGTAATGAAAGAGTTCACCAAAGATAGACAATTGAGACAACCTTGTGCCACAAGATTTGCTTCAAATTTTTTAATGCTTCAATCTGTGTTGGATTCGGAGAATGAACTTCAACTCTTTGTTGCTTCATCTGAATGGAGGGGTTTTGATTATTGTAAGACCAAATCAGGTAAAAGGGTCACTGAAATTATTCAGAGTGATTTTTGGGCTAGAGGAAGGGAGGTTATAAAAACTATTGAGCCATTGGTTTGAGTTCTTCGTTTGGTTGATGGTGATAGATCTACTGCTGGTTACTTATATGAAGCAATGACGAGGGCAAAAGTTGCAATCAAAGAAATATGTAATAGTGAGGCAAGCAAGTATGGGAGAATTTGGGAATTGTTTGAGAATCGTCGGGTTAACAAAATCATTCATCCTATACATGCTGCAGCTGCCTTTCTCAATCCAGCTTACTTTTGCTCACAAAATTTTAGAGAGAATAGGGAGATGAAAGATGGCATCAATTTCATTCATGAAAACCTGCTTCTAATAGAAGAAAAGCATCCATTTATGAGAGAGGTTTAGTTGTATCGTAATAGGCCAGCTACCTTATTTACTGCAACGGCAAAAACGATGTTACAAACAAGTCATCCTCGTAAGTGTTTTAAAAAATTTCAATATCTTTTCTTTACATTGCTTCTCTCTTTATATTTAAGAAAGTTTTTATGTCATTTGCAGGAATATGGTGGGATTACAATGGGGATGATCTTCTTGTGCTCAAGAAGTATGCCATTCGAATTCTGAGTCAACCTTGTAGCGCTTCATCATGTGAGAGAAATTAGAGTGCCTTTGAAGCCGCTCAAACCAAAAAAGGAATAGGTTGTCACATGAAATGCTAGACAAACTTGTGTATGTGAGGATGAACACAATGATGATGGATAAATTCACTTCCACGATGAGTCGTGACTTGGAACATATAGATCTTGAGAAATTAGGAGAGCTTCCAGACTATGAATATGAAGAAATTCATATGGACGAAGATGCTAATTCCACACCAACAGTTGAGGGTTACTTTGATGACTTAATGGATAATGATGATATTGCTTGGTTGGACGATGCTTTTTTTTGAGTTGTTATTGACTTATTGTTGTTTATGTACTTTGTGAGTTTTTGTTACAAACTATAATTTGAATCTTTGTTGTATTATTTGTGTATTTTGTTTGTTTGGAGCTCTTATTCGACTTTGAATTTTGATTTTATTATGACTTATGTATTTAATTTGACACTATAGTTGAATCTTGGCTAAATATTGTGTTTGAGTCTGGAGACTATATTTTGAATATCAGTTATATATTGTGTATTTGTGTTATTGGTTAATTGAATACTTTGCATTTGAAATGTTATGTTGATTTTAACCAGGTAGTCCATAAAAGTGTTAAAACTAAGATTGATATTGCTGTATTTTTCAAAACGTATTATTGACAATGCATTGTATTAAACCCATTTATACCCGTACCGTATTTTTCCCGTATCCGAATTTTATGGCCAAATTTTTATAAACATATTTTTCACCGTTTACTGTATTATACCCGTATAATTCCCATACCCTTTTTTTGCCATACCCATATTTACTAACTAGGGTATTAAGATTGAAATGACAAAGTACAAATAATGAAGATAATATGCTACTGTTTTGAATTTTATAAATCTGGTATATAGTTTAGTTTACGGGAGCATATTAGTATAAGTGGACTGATATGCTTCAGTATTGTTTAGTTTAAGGGAGCATATTAGTATACTGTATTGATCTAGTTAGTGTAGTCTAGTTTAAGGGAGCTTATTATTATAGTGGGGTGTGTTTTGTAACTCTTTAGAGTTTATATGTTTGGTACAGGATGTCTTTTGTAAATTCTAAAAACTTAGAGATTAAACTCTGCATTTCAGTCCAACGGCTCTATATAAATTAGCCGCCTCTTGTAACCAATTCAATTAATAAAATTTTCTAGAAAGTTTCAGCTTGAATCTATTTCTTCCTCTCTCGCTCTTAAAGTCATTCAATTGGACATGATCTTAAAGTCATTCAATTGGACATGACTAAGGAATTTAGTCTTGTAACTCCTAGAGCAAATCATCTTGTTCTATTCCTACTTATCGCCTTCACAAATATTGAAATGGCCTGTGTAATTTCTGAAATAGTCTTCAATCATGCACATAAGAACTTGCATTCTATTGAATTTATACTTGGTTCGATTTTATTCTCTAATTATGAATTGATTTATGTAATTGCACATTAACATTTATTCTCCAAGTTCGAATATTTTAACAACAACTTGGCTGCTGTGTGCCTGTTATGTAGGTGTAAAAATGCTCAACATTTATACAGTCAAGGAAATTTAGAGTAAAAGCAGAAAAATTGATGATGAAAAGTATAGTGCTGTTTTGTTGTTGTTGTCTTATGAAAACAGATGGGAATGTTCTGTCACTTTTTGTTTTACATTTTGAGGGAATTTGAGTATATGGCAGTTTGTACAGATTATTCCTTTATTAAGAAAAATTATGAATTAAGCTCCTCTACCCTTTTGGGTTAGCATTACTTGCTCATTTTGGCATATGACTCCAAAATGTTTTCATTTAGGAAGGCACATAATTACCTATATTTCTGGTAAAGATTCTTGGCGGGGGCAGATTTGAAAAGATAGCTAAGATTATACTTGTGATTGGTTTAGGCAGTCAGGTGAATATAAAATTGATCTTGGTTTTCTTTTTATTTGATAGGTCTAGAAATGTCATTTAGTTATAATGCTCTGATATCATAATGACAAGTAATACAGAAACTATAGATTTGCTTAAGAATATTAAAATTGCAATTGCTAAAATCGGGCGAAGCGGTAACAAATTTAGGATTTTTCAACGTCGAATTATAGGTCAATTAAATTAAATATGTACAGTTAAAATTAACCCTACAAATTATGTTACCAATTGAATTGCTAAAGAAGACAGTTTTCAGGGATTGATGTGAAATTTTTGTGATGTTTATGTTGGTTTGTGTGATGGATAAGAAATTTTGATGTGTGGGACGTTGAGAATTGTATGAGTGTTTGAGGTGAATTTTGTTTCATTGGTGATATTATAAAATTTTGGTGTTTATGTTGTTTAGGGTTTCATATTTAGTTTGATTTCTTCCGTATACAATTGCCTGTGTTGGGTTTAAGGACTTGTACATGCTTGATTGACTTCATTATGCTTTGACCCATGAATTATGTGAAACAGCTATAGCCTGTTTAACAGTCAGGCAGAAGATGCACTTGGTTGCCCTTTTAGTCTTCCATTTGGACATGTTGGAAACCATGTACACCATGCTCGTCCTTCTTAGGTTGGCTAATGCACTTAATATACGGGGTAGACATAGGGCTGCTATATCATATGCCAGTGAGTCTGCGTCTATGTTTAAGGTTAGGTCGATCAATTTACACACCATGCTTTTCCAAAGTGATGAGTTATGTTTTGAGAGCTGTAGGATGAATATGACTGTATTTCACAAATTATGTAATTTACTTACTATACATGACAACTTAAAATCAACCCGTCCTTCATCCATAGAAGAATTAGTTGGGACCTTTCTTCACATCCTTGCCCATAACCAAAAGACCAGAGTAATGAAATGTCAAATGCGTAGATCCACTGAGACAGTAAGTCGCAATTTTCACTTAGTCCTGAACGCCATGTTAAGGTTGCATACCCTGTTGTTTAAAAAAACCAAAAGCCATTCCCAAGAACTCAACCGATGAGCAGTGGAAATGGTTCAAGGTACAGTCTAATCACTAGGTTTACGATGCACATGTAGTTTAGTACCTTATTAAAATCAGAGTTAGTGTTTTCTCTAAAATATTGTTGTTGTTGTTTTGTGTTAGAACTGTTTGGGAGCCTTAGATGGAACATACATAAAGGTTCACGTGCCGGCTGACGATATACCTAGGTATCGGTCAAGGAAAAGTGAAATCACAACTAATGTCCTTGGTGTATGCACACCTGACATGCAGTTTATATATGTCCTCGCTGGGTGGGAAGGTTCTGCTGCAGATGGTAGAGTTCTTAGGGATGCCATTACTAGGAGAACTGGATTAAAAGTCCCCCAAGGTAATATAACAAAAAAAAATGTATTTTTAATGTTAGGGTCTGCCATAATAGTGCACTTAGTAATTGTTATTGACTTGAAATTGTTTATTTTAGGACATTACTATTTGTGCGATGCTGGATACACTAACGGGGAAGGGTTTTTGGCCCCTTATTGAGGACAACGATATCATTTGAGTGAATGGCGACAAGGTCACCAACCGACATCACCATAAGAATTTTTCAACATGAAACACAAGAAATTGTATTGAGCAATGACTTAACATCCTGAAAGCTCGATGGGGAATATTGAAAGACACATCTTACTATCCTATCAAAACTCAATGTAGAATTATTACTGCATGTTGTCTTTTGCACAATTTCATAAGGTCTGAGTTGCCCATTGACCCGGTTGAAGCAAAGCTTCAAGAAGAGGTGAACGATGAAGGGCAAAAGGATGACGAAGGGGAATTGATTAGGCACGTTGAGCCTAGTGTCGAGTGGACTGCATTTAGAGACAATTTGGCAGCTGAAATGTTCAATACTTGGATGGCTGCGCGGAATGACTGATTGTGCTTGTGTTTAGTTTATGTGTACTGTTGTGACTTTTTAAATTTTTGTCTTTTCTGATTTGCCATGTATGAATGAACCCAAACACTAATCTGTCTTTGTTAGCGGACTTGTACATTGACTTACATTTGTCGTAATGTAGATGGTTGAATGTTAAGTGATCCCGTTCATTTATTATTCTTCCTGATTGACTTAAAATTATTCAACTCGTGTATATCAATAGGTCGGTAATTGTGTATAAATGAA